CTTTCCGTTTACTTCGTTTCTCTTGTTTCTCGAGTCTTCTCTTTTTGTTTTCAGACCAAGCTTCAGTTTCGCTTTTTGCTTACGTCTATGAATATTTGACCAATTGCCAATATTTTGATATTCGATCAATCTTTTAATCCTATGTAATTCACGTTGTTTATGCATATAAGGTATTGCATTTGTATCGATTTCAGGGTCAACAAAAGATGACACTTTTTTCCCCTTGAGCTCTGGCATTTTTGGCATTCTCAGCAAACCAAAACCCATGGCTAGCTTCCCCAAATCGATGTCTTTCAACTGAAGAATTAAATTACATTCGTGTTTACTATATGCTTGCACATATGAAACAAAGGCACGATTTGCTCTATCAAACATGAGTCGATCTTTTTGTTGCATCTGCCTCATACACTGTAGGCATTCTTCGACAGTATCCATGTTCAATTTTGTTTCCATTCTTTGCAATTCCACTTTTTGATTTCTCTTGATAAAATCTACATACGCACTCTCGGTTTCTAGAAGAAACAGCAAAGCGTTTCCTTCATTACCAATCCTAGCTGTTCTACCGCATCTATAATAGACAAAGAATAATACTTTAGAGAACAATTTTTTAAAATATCACATGAAATATATTTATATATGTTGTATATATAATAGGTAATATAAAAGTAATTACCTATGTACAAAACTGCTAGCGACAGAAGGAGGATCGTATTGTAACACCCAATCTATATCAGATATATCAATTCCACGAGCCATTACATCCGTGCATATTAAAATGCCATTTTGGACACGTCGAAATTTATCAAATATTTTATACCTCTTACTTTTCATTTTACCGTGCAAAGAAAGCACATTTATCGATGGTAATAACCTGTAAATATATATATATATATATATATATATACTATTTGCATATCATGATGTGAGTGTGTGTTCTCCGTACATATCTTACACACACACACACACACACACAAAAGGAAATTATATATATATATATATCTCTCAGAGTTGGAATGTGTTATTTGTAACGTCGTTACCGTTACTTTTTTTGATAATAAAGTGTAATAACGGCATTATTTTTTTTCTTTTTTAACTGTAAAAATAAGAATTTAATAGTTACTTTTTATATTTTGGACCTATTTATGATATATTTCTATATATTCAATGTTCAGTTTAAAATCGATATTCATAGTTGTTGTATTTAAAACTTGTCTTAACAATACTTTTAAAAATAATTTATCATAAACCAATTACAAGAGCATATCTAATGAAAAGACGATAAAACCTTTTAAAAATTTGTAAACAGAGAATTAAAGATAAAAAATAGTGTAAATTTATTGTGTTAATTTAATAAAAACCACATCTTTTATATTTGCATGTTAGATATTTTAATATCTTAAATTCTTTTAGAATTTTTGAATGCAAATTTGCAATTTTAAGATAAAAATTTTATTATTATTGAAAAGTAACTGTTTCTTTTAAGTAATGAGTTACTACTTTTAGAATTAGTAACAGAAAGTAGTAACTTTTTTGACTCGGTAATGAATAACAGTATAACGA